ACCTCTGTTCCGCGTCGGACGGGCTCCTTGTCAAACCTCTGTCCCGCGCCGGACGGGCTCCTTGTCGAACCTCTGTCCCGCGTCGGACGGCCCGTGTCCTAACCCCGGATGTCGCATAGAGCCTCTGACACCCTGAGCAGGATTAATGTTCCGCGGCGTCCCGCTAAGTGACTAACCGGTGCTGGTGTGCGGAGAGGTCGGTCAGCACTGGGGGGGCGGAGCAGGGAGCCACGCGCGCCGCGTGCCGAGTGGGAGGTAACGGCTCTGACGGACCCGGGCCGTCGTCACATCTCACACAGCACAGCATGTAAAGTCGGCGCAATGTATCGGCTGGGAATGGGCACGGTGCAGCTGTTTGAGCAGCGCTGGGTTCGGCATCTCACGCGTGACGGTTCATCAAAAATGCGTTTGTACAGGTGCGGTGCCTATTAATATAAGGAGTTTGTTGCTGCCCCCCCCCCCCCCCCCCCCACCCCAGCTCACCTCGACTGCAATGACTGGCGCTGCGGTTGTCTGTGAATACCCGCAGGGCCGGTCAAAACCTTTTCTTGATATCTCGTTATGAGTACCCTGGTGCATTCGTATTCGTGCGGAAGCATAGTATGGAGGTGTATACAACCGTGCGCTTGCCTTACATGTGTGTGGTAAAAGTGGAGATGATCGGGCTCTTGGCCATATTACAGAGAGCGCTTCGTCTGCCTGCCGTGATTCAACAAAAATGAAAAAATAGCCCAAGTATGCTTAACCAAACCGTTAATATTTGGGCCAATCGCATGCATACCGGTATGGTCCCGAAAATTTGAAATTGTTTTGATGTGACATCCCAAAGCCTGTAGGTAACTAAGCGGCATCATGTGACAACCCAAAGCCTGTAGGCAACCAAGTGGCATCACGTGCGTACGCACTGGAATGTGATCTAGCCGGGGGGGGGGGGGGGGCAGTCAGAGCGCAGTGTGTGCCAGGGCTGGGGAGGGGCAACCGCTGGTCCTTGCTGGGCATTCCGGCAGAATCGGCGATCCCAGTGTTTTGACTGTTTTTCTTCCAAGGCTTGGTTCGGGAGTATTAGCTTTCCTCCCTTGTTCGCCATCGATCGATTATATCGTAAATGGCTGAAGTCTCGTGCTTACATCAGGTAAGAGGCATCACCTGGGAAGCAAACGAGCAGCTCCAAGCCTGTCATCATAGCTGCTGCACGGAGAGCAATTACTACAAATATTTTATTTGCCCGCTGAATTGGAGCCATCTGGAGACGAATAATTTGCCGCATTCGCAGGGGATCCTCTCGCAGAGCCTGCTTGCCCGCCTTTACGTCAGATGGCAGCATCATCTAAACAGCATGACCGCACAGTGTTTTCACTGGTAGTTACAAAGCGGAAACGTTATGAGCAGCTAAATGATTTTTTTGTGCAAATGAAATTAAACTTGACCAATATACCTTACTTGCATGAGTAAGCCATTGGGCCATAATGAGTTTGTAATCTGCAGGCGATAGTGCCGGGAGGTCAGATTGGGACGGTCAGGTCAAAATGCTTCATTAACCTTTGATGACTTTAAAAAGGTGTATGAAAGGAGTATGGGTGAAAGATGTATGAGTGAATAAACATGCATTGCTTCCGGAATTTAGTTTGCTAAGGGCTAGAACTGAAGGTCAGCTTAAGCCGGTGACTGATGTAGGTTGCATGGAAGTAACACAGCTGGTTGAAAAAAATTAACAAGACCCAGGTGAACAAGGCCACGTCAAAACGTGTCAGTATCACCAGTTATATATCGAACCACGCCTTGAACCGACATTTCTCATCTAAAAGACGCGTTGGTCAGTAACCTGATCAAACCTTGGCTTAGAGGATCGCATTATGTTTAAAACTGTATGTTGCAGGAGTTACTGGAAGCGTACTGAAGCTACTGCAAGTGGGCCTGCAGCTTTGTGAAAAACAACGTTTGATGTGAATGCCCGCCTACATCCTGCATTTTACCAGAACAAATTTCGTTTAAGCCCAGCCAATGCGCGCGTTAAATAGTATGCAGTGAAAAGGAGGCATGTTATCTGTTCAGTTTCCGCTGCGTTTGACATCCGTTGACCTCCATGGCGACAAAGCCATGTGACAGCATCGACCCCAACCGGGCGCAGGCACCGGTGGATTACGTGGTCTAGTGGCATTCGCGGAATCATTAGAAACAACACACATCGTCGTAAATAAATAGTGTTTGTGGGCACATACCCATTGGGTTCCTTTTCTGGCAGTCGCGGTCGCCGCTGACTGACGGCTGTCCTCTGCACCGGCGTAATTATGGTGACACGCGACATCACACCTGGGTTCCTTGACCTTCTGGAAAGTCGCCCGACTAAGAACTGATGTGGCTGAGGCACGCCACTGATGACTACCGCGGTCAGTGGTCGGTGTCCGATTTCTGGTTTATCGACCGCAGTGAGATCACCAGCCAGCGCGTGATTGTCACGGTCGTCCACTGAAACTGACTCGGCAGATCGGCGTCGTAAGTCCCATCGACCAGCAGACCACGGCATTACTTCTGCCCGCGAACTGCCGTCCGGCGGCCACAGCGACGGCTGCTAGTCCAGAGCACTTGGTGTCCTCGCGTCATGCTTGTCAAGACAGCCCACCGTCGGCCCGCGGTCAACAAACTTCCTCGTGTCTGCGGCGTCAAACTGTTGGGAGCGCTCACGTCATTGATCACGGCAAACTGGCTTCAACCCGCCTCCTGAAGATTTTTCAGTGACGTCCAATGCGCTTGCCAGCTAGCCTTTTCAACTAAGTTTGTACACCATCTGGTCCACTGCGGCGCATTGGGAGGGCTGCTCACAATAGCCAGCTCTATAGTGATGCGCTGGTCTACAGCTGCAAAGTGACGGTGAATTCGTCTCATTCGCTAGTGAACCCTATGGCCCCTCACCTCACTCACACACTTGATGGGACGAAGCGCGGTGTTGTCTTTCCCTCCGGAAACTGCTGTGGTTTAACACTTGAGTAAGCAGGAGTCATTCTTTTAAACCTCGCCATGATTCGCCGTCTTCATGACGCGGACTAAGGACTGACTGACTAGCTCCTGCCGTTTCGAAACTGAGAAAGATAGAGACTCGCAAAATAATCAGCGTATTTATCAGTTTTATGTTCTTAAGTCATTAATGAACTCCACCAGGTTGAGTCAAATGTCAAATTTTCCTGACAATCAAACCTTATCAGCTTAACACGCTCATATGTGCTATGCTCCGCAGTGACACGAAACTTAAACAGACGTGTTCCTTGCTCAATTATGAGGACCAACACATTTAGCTGCATGCGTTTTGGCCACTTAGAAACCAGAAATGCTAGAGATACGTTTTTGATTTCAAAACACATGCACAATGGATTTCCTGGAGACAACCGAAAGTTTTGATGCGATTGCTCGACATGCAATTGCCGGAAAGACATGCTCAGCAAACCTTGGGGGTTGCATCGACCACTCTCGCTTCCCCTTATCAGAGCGTTGGTTAAAGGGGGTGTTCCATATTTGTATGGGGTTTTGAACGGAAAAAACCATCTTGAAGATCATTCGATGTTGTTTACAGGTACACCCTTCTACAGACCTAAACCCCTCCAATTGCTGAGCCATAGGCCCGCGAAAATATCCAGACTATTTCGGGTAGACTATTTCAAGGCTATCCAGGCATCCATGACGCCATAATAATGTCATTCAAATCCTGACATTCCATTAGCCGTGCGGCGATCAAGGCCGAGAAGAATGTCATTGCCGAGTTGTTCATATCTGGCGCTCGTGAGTACGATTTCCAAATAAAACGGCCCTCAATTGGCTCTCAATGTTGTGCAAGATACGATAACGTAATCAAACAATGACGCGTTGAAAAACATTTACTAAACAGAGAAATTGTGTTGCCTAGAGCAGTCTTTTCCACCTAAAAGCATGCTATTGGGCATAAGTCAGCATTGAGACACGTGCGTCCCTTTAAGTCCCTTTAAGCTGAATTCACGACTGTGGAAATGCCCACAAAAGAATCCCAGTTCACGTTGGCCACAAAGCGCAGCCACAGCATGAACGGTCGAAGTTCGTACCCCTCCTCAAGCCAGTACGGATGACGAGATGTGACGGTCGCAGGTCACGTACGCTGACAAAACTCCACCCCAGCGGAGCAAACCAGCCTGGTTTGCCATCCGCGTCTGCGGCGTGTACAAGTGAGATGTCCCTGGTGCTCCAATTAGTCGGCAGCAGGTGCAGGCTCAGGGAATCACAGCTGACCCCCAGTTGAACTCCAGCTGGCTCAGCAAGTCCCAGTGGACCCTCAGTTGAGCCCTAGCAGGCTCAGGGAGCCGCAGTCAACCCCCAGTTGATCCCCAGGGGCTCAGAGAGTCCCTGTTAACCCCTCAGTTGACCCCCAGCAGATCCAGGGAGTCCCAGTTAACTTCCAGTTAACTCCTAGCAGACTCAAGGAATCCCAGTTGACCCCCAGCAGGTTCCTGGAGTCACAGTTGACCCCGCGCCCCAGCCATACGGGAGCGGTCTGGGCTACGAGGCTGCTGGCACGGCCGGACAATCCGATAAACCATTGGGGCCGGTCGATTCAGTGTCTTCTCTGATTCTACGCTTACCTGCGATTACCTAGAGATTTTCTCGGCTGATCCGGCTCAGCTGATGAAGATTTGATGGTGGGCGGATCGATACAATTCACGGAAAAAAGCTTAATATTCGTCTCTGCGGGTGGACCACCCTGCCGTTTAATAATTTTCGGATACCTTAGGTTGATGAATCATTGCACTGGTCGCCTGAAGCCCAACGGCAGTGGTTGAAGACAGTTTTCAGCAAACGGGTAAAAAGTGGCATACCAAGAGCCAGAGGTTTGTTCTGGCTCATGCGAGGAAGTTTTCCAACTGGCCAGGCCACAGCACGTGTGCAAATGACATCTTTCTGACCAAGTTTCTCATCCTGACATGTCCGTCACCGTCAGCTGCAGACCTTAAAGGCCTACCGTCCCATGTCTGGCCCGGCAGTTTTGCACCAACTTCGAGACGTCGGACAAGAAACTGTTTCCGACGTTCGCGCGCACCCGACCGCCTGACACTCAGATCTCCAAGTCGGTGTTGTCGCTGCTGCTGCGGTACAGCTGGATGAAGGTCGCCTTCCTGTATAAGGACTCGCCAGGTGAGATGGATGACCGGACCTGACCTGACCTCGGCCTTGACCTCAAACCTCGACCTGTGACCCGGCGATTCGAAACCGGTAACCGGTTGTGTCTAGCTGCCTTACTTGGCTTGACCGACATTTCCTAGCCTGACATGACCTGATCTGACCTGACCATTTGACCTGACCTGACCTGACCGATCTTCACCCGGCCTCAGCTGAACAAAATAACACGGCACCACTCGGGGCAGTCCGCCAGCTGCGGTGCAGAGGAGCAACCCTTTGACCAGGACCTGGTATCCCGGAGTCTAATTCCGTGGCTGGAAAAACTTATCCGGGATGCGAAAATGTCTGACTATTCCGTAACTTACCTGCGCTGCGCTTGTATATAATACCGCGAATGTCGCGTTCTAGGAAGGCGCGACAACCACAGTGTCGCTTTTCTCTGTTCTCTCGAACACTCGTAATAACATCTAGCCGTGCGTTATGTGAGGCAACGATTATCGGGACCGTTTTAACGATTATCGGGACTGTTTTAACGATATCGGCACCGTTCTTGCTCTGCATATTCCCCTGTCGGTGATGGAATGCCCCGAAGGGCGCGTTTGAGACTGTTTGAGCGGGTTCCCAATCTCCATTTTGGAAAATGACATGGAACCTTAATCATCAGACATTTGACAAGTGTATTAGGGTAATTCACACCGCATATTTGGTGATTTTAGCCCATATTCGGAAGAAAACATGCAAAGCAAAACGCGAAGATGAATACGAGAGATACATGCATGCAAGTTAAACGCGTGCATAGATGTAGCGCCAACCTACATGCATGCATGTGGGACAACCTAAGCTGCTGCGGAGTGTTCCCGCATGTGGTTCTTTAACGCCCGTGGTTTGGCTGACGCCTGGGCTCAGCTGCTGCGGAGTGTCCCCGCATGTGGTTCTTTAACGCCCGTGGTTTGGCTGACACCTGGGCTCAGCTGCTGCGGAGTGTCCCTGCGGGTGGTTCTTTAACGCCCGTGGTTTGGCTGACACCTGGGCTCAGCTGCTGCGGAGTGTCCCCGCATGTGGTTCTTTAACGCCAGTGGTTTGGCTGACGCCTGGGCTCAGCTGCTGCGGAGTGTCCCCCGCATGTGGTTCTTTAACGCCCGTGGTTGGCTGACACCTGGGCTCAGCTGCTGCGGAGTGTCCCCGCATGTGGTTCTTTAACGCCCGTGGTTTGGCTGACACCTGGGCTCAGCTGCTGCGGAGTGTTCCCGCATGTGGTTCTTTAACGCCCGTGGTTTGGCTGACGCCTGGGCTCAGCTGCTGCGGAGTGTCCCCGCATGTGGTTCTTTAACGCCCGTGGTTTGGCTGACACCTGGGCTCAGCTGCTGCGGAGTGTCCCCGCATGTGGTTCTTTAACGCCCGTGGTTTGGCTGACGCCTGGGCTCAGCTGCTGCGGAGTGTCCCCGCATGTGGTTCTTTAACGCCCGTGGTTTGGCTGACACCTGGGCTCAGCTGCTGCGGAGTGTCCCCGCATGTGGTTCTTTAACGCCCGTGGTTTGGCTGACATCTGGGGTCAGCTGCTGCGGAGTGTCCCCGCAGGTGGTTCTTTAACGCCCGTGGTTTGGCTGACACCTGGGGTCACCTCAGCTCCCAGTCCCCTGGCAGGGATGATACAGTCATCTCGCCCAAAGTTTTGACGCATGACACGTCAATCCAGGGCGCTGAAATGAATCATGTAAATCAATGCAGACGTTGATGTGAATCATGAGCGCCCGAGTGCTTGGCTGCGGGCCGCTTACACGACGCTCGACGAGAGTCGGAGCTTGTTTTCGAGCGTTCATGACCGCCGCCACGTTTTGATTTAGCCGTGTGTTGCCAAGGAGTGACGCGATGAAATGATGCCACGCGAGAAAAACCCCACGTTTCCGCCGGTGGTGACTGATTTGAAAAACGCCAAAGCGCTCCCGCTGCCAAATGTCAGCTGGTCTGTTTCGTCACGACTTGGCGCACGCGTGAGGGAGGGAATGGAGCAGCAGCTGACTTTTACGAACATTTGGGCCCACGTGTGGATGGTAATGTAAGGCAACGGGGATGATCGCAACACCCAATGTCCGTAACCACTAATTCCTAATAACACCCAATGTTCGAAGCACTTAACGTAGCACAACCACTGATGAAGTCATAACATCCAGTGTAGCATAAACTCTAATAAATCACGGCTTCCTGTGGGCTCGGCTCAGCGGGGATGCCAAACGGTAGCTGATGTGTTATGATAGCGCACGTCAGGAGCGCACGTAGGCTATCGTGATGACTGGGGGGGGGGAAGATCATAACTCAAAGTATTTTACTGGAAGCCTGCTTCAGCGGGCCGCAGGCGCGTGAGATTTGTTGCTCATAACCACATCTGACTTACTCATTGTGCTTATTTGTGTGTGCTTGCTAATTATTTTAGCATTAGCATTAAGCACATCTTGTTAGCTGTAATGCATCTACAATGCGTTTTAATGCATCTATAATGCATTACAGCTATCAATTAGCACCCGGGAGCCACTATGTGCCTACATTCACATAGAGTTCGCCCCCAGCGAACTCTATGTGAATGACTGACTCACGCATGTCGGCGAACGCTGTGGACTCCGTGTTCCGAGTATGGGTTGGCCGTGGTGCCGGGTGTTGGCGGACTCAGGACTTCGCGTATTGACTGTTCCCTGGGCTCACGTCTCTCTCTAACGTCGTGTGATGTGCACGTGACGTGTCGATGTTTCGGTCACTTGTCGTGGTGGCCAGCTCTAGGCGTGGCGAGTTGACCCTTCCGTGGCGGCACGTGTTGAAACTTCCTTGGCGATACGTGTTGACCCTCCCATGGTGGCACGTGTTGACCCTCCCGTATCGGCGCGCTCTGACCCTCCCGTGGCGGCCCGTGTTGACCCTCCTGTAGCGGCACGCTCTGACCCTCCCGTGGCGGCACGTGTTGACCCTCCCGTGGCGGCACGCTCTGACCCTCCCGTAACGGCACGCTCTGACTCCCCCGTAGCGGCACGCTCTGACTCCCCCGTAGCGGCACGCTCTGACTCCCCCGTAGCGGCACGCTCTGACCCTCCCGTAGCGGCACGCTCTGACCCTCCCGTAGCGGCACGCTCTGACTCCCCCCGTAGCGGCACGCTCTGACTCCCCCGTAGCGGCACGCTCTGACCCTCCCGTGGCGTCACGCTCTGACCCTCCCATGGTGGCCCGTGTTGACCCTCCCGTGGCGGCACGTGTTGACCCCCCCCCCGTAGCGGCACGCTCTGACCCTCCCGCGGTGGCCCGTGTTGACCCTCCCATGGCGGCCCGTGTTGACCCTCCCGTAGCGTCACGCTCTGACTCTCCCGTGGCGGCACGTGTTGACCCTCCCGTGGCGGCCCGTGTTGACTCCGGCCACGTGTTGCAGAGTCCGAGCTCGGCGCCATCGGCGAGACGATCGTCTCTGTGCTGCGGCGCGGCGGCGTGTCGCTCCGCCACGTGGTCACGTGGAACCAGACCTTCCACGTGGGGTACATGGACAACCCGTTCACGGACATCCTGCGCCGCACCAAGGATGACGTCAGGAGTGAGTCATAGCACGGCTACAAGGCTAAGGCTAAGGCTTGAGCTAAGCCCAAATCACAAGCTAAGTCTCTAAGGTTGTAAGTCTAAGCTAGGTCTCATGCTAGCCAGGCCGTTGAAAACAGTTTGCACGCCGCAGTTTAAGGCGTGTCGCCGCACTGAGGTCGGCTGAGATCGTCTGCAGCCGTCGCTCATCCTCGTGGGAGTCGGTGCCGGCGAAAGTTGCTTGTGGAGGGAATCGAACCAGGACTACACGATCCATGTCTGATGCGCTCGTTACCAGTTCACTGGCGCTCTGACGTTGGAAGCTCATAGGAGCATGCGATTGATGCCAGTGGAAGGATTTTGTTGGGTATTCGCTATCTCAGATGTATGCTTACCAAACTGTCCAGCTTAGCGTGCAGATGCTCAGCATATACGAACAGACATGCATGCACTGACAACGAGCACTAAGATGTGCACCAGACGACGCATGCATGCATGAGTTGGGAGGATGTGAGAGTGTCCACTAGTGCACGAGCACAAACATACGTCCACTAGTATGTGTGTTTGTGTGTGTATATGGATCACCATGGTATCAATTTAGTATGGGAAATGCACAAATATCTGCATTGTCAGATGGGGGCTCTTATTCTCACAGTAATCAACATTCAGTGCACCAGGAGGCGCACATTACAGCTGCATCGATTATGGTCAGAATGAGAGTTCCCCACTCACGACGCCGAAACACCAGGAGCTCAATGCCCTTTTTCCTTATATCAAGTTTGAATTCCGTGTGGTGACATCCGAAAAAGCAGTGCTTACGCTCACGTTCTACATGGTAATATGCTGGCAGCATCCCGCGGTTAACCCCAGCAGAGCACTGCAACAACTCACATCACTGGAGACAGGGCATTTAAACCCATGACAATACAGATATCATGACTGCCGGGTCTGAATGGCCAGGAATTCGCAAGAATTTAACTCGGGATAGCTTGGCTCGAAAATGGCGAGGTAATTCTTACGGCGGTAAAGGATGACGTCATGTAGGGAGGTGCTGTGACGTCATCTCACAGCTGACCAACATCTTGATCGTTATCTAAGCTTATTTTTAATGCCGAAGTGGGTCGGATGGCCAGTGTCTTGGCAGCTGAACCTCATTTGCTTTTAACTACGCTGACGTCTTAGCGTCGATCAATTAATCAAGTTAATGGTCGTTCTCTTCCCAATAAGACGCTCGGCTGGCCATATTGACTGTCTCATCACATGCATTTGGTCGTAGCCCAGGCTCAAAAGTCTGCACGATATAAATTTGCTGGTGAGAGAATACTTGGGAAACGCCCCTCCCCCTCCGCCCCAACCCTCTCTAGCCGCCTGACCGCTCATCACACCAAAAGCGCTGTCTCGAAATTATAAGCTGGTGAAATGAGGCCGGCAACGATCAGGCGATCAGCTGTTAACGCATTGTATTATGTGAAAATATAGATCCCACTGTAACCAGTCCCGGGTATGTATCTGCGGACGCTTTCCGCCCGTTATTTTCCAGCATTTCCTGGTCGCATCACTGATCGGAATGGAACTGACGTTATCATTTGATGACGTCACAGACAGAGTGACTGTCATCAGTGCGCTCGTGAGCATTTCCGATGGCGCGGCTGGCTGAGCAGGACCAGCTTCGTTTCAAAACAACAAAAAAGTCAGCGGTGCGCAGTCGGTGGGGGTGGGGAGGGGGAGGGAGAATGCCTTTCAGGTCATGTTACTGCAAATGGGCTTTCTGAACTTGACGGTGTGTTGACATCTAACGCCAGGGAAACAAAACTGTTAAGAATTATGCAGCTGGTCTCGATAACGGCACGCAGCCGACACAACAATCCATTTACATTCATTCTCCTGACATTCCTTCTCCCGGTCATTCTACGAGGAAAGAGGTTATTAGTACTGTCTTTGTGGGGCGAAAGTTCAGCGTCGGCTCAGCGCTTTTGGCCGGCGCCTGTCATGGGTTGTCTCCATCCGTGCTGCGCCTGCCATGGGTTGTCTCCATCCGTGCCGCTGCACACCCGCTGGGCTTTCCAGGTTTTCTTCGAGCGCATTGCGTCGGATCCAATCTCCACGCGGTTTTTTAGCTCCCATCTCTGGACCCGTACCAGGCCCCGCGTATATACATTTGCCTGCACCTATACCTTATATGCATATCGTATATATATATATATATATATATATATATAAATAGATAGATAGATAGATAGATAGATAGATAGATATATATATATATATATATATATATATATATATATATACACCGCACCACCTCGCCACGCCCGTTACGACTCTCCCGCCCGCCACCGAGCTTCCGGAACAGATAAACAAGCCGCTGTTCGCCGCCCCCGCACCACTAAGACAACTTAATTAACGCGTTAACTCGCCGCGTGACGTCACATGGTCAACTTGTTGCGCTTGCGCTTACGGGCCATTTATGATCTACTCCATCACAGTCTTATCGGTCCAGGCTATGTTAAACTTTCATATTTCAAAACGTTTTCGTCGCGGACGAAGTACGAGCGATCGGTCAGCTGGATGCTATGTTTGCAGCACGCTTCATCTGCCTGCGCTCATGCTTCACACTGTCTGCCTATCAACAATGGTCGCTGGGATCTCCGCCGCAGAGGACGCCCGATAGACAATGAGGTTGCTGCTGTGAAAACAGCAATCATGCGCAGAACTCAGAAAGGCAATTGTCGATGAAAAATCACCGGACCGAAAAACAACAGCCGGTTGCCAAACTCAACAACCGGCTGCCAAACTTACAACAATCTGACCCGGCATCACGACCCCGGCGGCGCGGCTAGAGCCGACAGACTGTCACACAACGCCAGAATAACTGACACAGCTGAGCATTCTGCATGTCTTCCCTCACGCAATGAGATCACAATGTTTCTCACGAATGTCTGACGCCGACAGCTTCCGAATTCAGAATTGAGCCTCACGCCGAGCGGTTCAGGCGACTTTATTGTGTCGCAAAAGGCCGGGCGGCTGCTAAACCAATGTCGGGAAAACGCGTCGAGTACCGCTGGGCTTCGCTGCCAGCGCGACAGTATCGTCCCACTGTCGACTGTCGACAGACCGGGCCTGTCAACCGACCGCAGCAGGTCCTGGTGCAGCCTGCCACACAGTGTGTTCGTTGACCTTTTAGTCGGGAAAATGGGAGAGACAGAGGTGTGCTGCGGACCTTCCGACAGCCCGCCTCGCCACCAGAGCTGTGCACCTAGACATGTGATCCCTTGCCGTGTTCAGTTTCATTCTCGCTTCTCGAAGATTCGTTGCTGTTGCTGCGGTTCGTTGCTGGAGCTCTTGATGCACCTTTAACTACAAAAAAAAACAGTCTGGGGAGAAACTTAACACGCTCACTGCAAGACCCCGCAAAATCTATCGCCCTGGAGGGAGAGGGGGGAGGGGCGCATCACGCCCCACCCAACTATCTCAAGAACCATCGCAGGTAGAGTAGCGCAGTTCAATGGTAAATGGGTGGTATAAGAAACCATATTTTGTGGAAAATTTACGAACCTCGGTCAATATTTTCAAGGTCAAATATGGTCAAAAATGTCTCCCGGGCTGGCTGGCAGGGTGGGATGAGCGCGTTTGAATGTGCGCAAAATTATATTTACATTTGTATTTTCTGACTGAATCAGGAGAAGAACTCTATTAAATCGTGATAAATCACGATGATTAATTCGGATTTTGTGTCGCCTGATTCATGTTCATGTAGGACCACTTCACTCTTTCATCTCATTCATTGGCCACGCTTTTGTTGGCAGGGGCGGTCAGCTGCGGTCAGTTCTATCGCCACACATCACGCCAATCTATTCATATGTAAAATTCGGGTGTGAAATGGCCAGCCTGCCACAGAGCAGCCCTCTGTTTCCGCACACCACTATTCCTCCCACATTTATTTTCTCAACTGATCAGCCTAGTTGCTTCCATCTTCTGTTAGCGGGGGCCAGTACATGTGTGTTGTGTGTGTGTGTTGTGGTGTGTGTGTGTGTGGTTTATGTATACATTTATATATATTTATTTATATAACATTTATATATATATATATATATATATATATATATATTCATATATATATATATACATTTATTATACTGCATATATGTAGATGGTGTGTATTTCTGTAGCGTATATATATCTCTCTCTCCCTCTCTCTCTCCTCCCTCTCTCCCTCTCGCTCCTCTCTCTCTCTCTCTCTCTCTCTCTCTCTCTCTCTCTCTCTCTCTCTCTCTCTCTCTCTCTCTCTCTCTCTCTCTCTCTCTCTCTCTCTCTCTCTCTCTCTCTCTCTCTCTCTCTCTCTCTCTCTCTCTCTCTCTCTCTCTCTCTCTCTCTCTCTCTCTCTCTCTCTCTCTCTCTCTCTCTTTATCTATCTTGCTTTTTCTCCAGCTCCAGATGCTGATGCTGTACATGATTGCCTGTTGCAGTTTACGTGGTTCTCGGGGAGTACTACGAACACCGGGCCGTTCTTATGACGCTGCAGGAGCAGAACTTACTTCAAACCGGTGCGTCCATCGTTGCCGCATCTAACCGGTAGTGTGTAAACTGAGTTACCTGTGAGCCCTCCAGAAATCAGTGGTGGCAGCTTATTCGCTGAGCTTGAGGCGCGGGTACAAACACTACTTTCCTTGCGATGTAAATGTGTAATTCTTCCAGCTCGGCTTTTCGTCATTTGTGAACCATTGCGTGGCACTGTTAAGTCCTTCCATCGAATGGTCTGTCCATGGTGTCTCTATCCCGCTGTGTGTTGTGTTGTGGTAGCCTGCGGTGCCCTGCTCTGGCCACTACTGAAACCCAATGTGATCACGGATTGATATGCAGAATAAGGCGTTCCAGACGGCCGTCCCTCGCGCGTCTTGCCGAGCGCTGTAACTTCCGTTGCTGTTGTGCTCGTCAGAGATGTGACCTGGCCAGAAACTGACTGATGTCGCTGGGCCCCGCGTGCAGGGGAGTACTTTGTGGTCGGTGTGGACATCCAGCGGTATCAGAACGCCACCCCGCAGAAGTACCTGCGCACGCTGTTCAGAGAGGAAAGCCCCACCGACCCGAGGGCAGAGCAAGCCTTCAAATACTACGTCGGTTAGTGGCGGGTGATGCACCTGACTCTGCTGGGATGAGCTCAGAACAAAATGCCTGTACTTACCACAGCAATGCTTGGAGGCCTGGCAGTAGAGCCTCCTCGTCTGCACGTGACATTTTGTCACGAAATGTCACCGTAGGTTACTGATCTGTGATGACCTTGAAATGTAGCCGGCTGATACCTGGGTGGCCTAGGTCAGGCACGTGCAGTTCGATATCGTTAAAGGCTCGACTCAGTATTTTGTCGCACCAAATGGTCAAATCATGTTGGGATACTGCAATGGCAATGAGAAAATTAATAGGCCCCCTAAAAACAAGGAAAGCTGGAAGATGGGCTAATTTATCCCGGATTTTTATCCTAACTAAAAGCCTTAACTAAAAACATGGGCCAACAAAAACCTATTCAGAACTGCATATGCCATCTAATGTCTTTTCATTTTTCTCGCTGTCTCTACCCTGTCCTGAAGAAGCGCGAGAGAGGTTTCTGCCCCCCCCCTTCCTCCCCCCCCCCCTCCGTCGTCAGCTGTAAGCTTGCGCGGAACGCTGTCAATGCGAGGGCTATAACGAGCCCCAATTCACCTTATCTCGTCGCCATTAAAGGCCGAGTAGTGGGGGCTGCGTCTTCGGAAACTTCCGGAAATTTCCGTTTGCACTCTCGCAATCAAACCGATTGCTTCGCAATCTCTTTTGCGGAACGACGCGCCGCGGAGCCAAGTCGGCGGCTGATTTTTCCAGCGATTTCTTCTGCGCTCGTGCTGGAGGCCGCTCTACTGCGCTACTTTGCCCAGCAGCTGAGCTTGTGCGGCCATAACAAGCGGCGAGTCAGACGCTGACATCACAGCCGCCGCAGGTGCCGACTCTGCAGCGGAGGGCTCTGTCAGCGGTTGGCTTCTCACTTCGCGACGCCTTCGCAATTGAGGATTACAGTGTCTCAGATTCTGGTAGGCCTTCTACCAGCAGGTCTCAGGACTGTTGAGGGTGTTTCAGGATTCAGCATGAGATTTGTTTTGTCTTTCCTGCGGAATGATAAGTCAACCGAATGGTATTCAGATTTCCAAACGTCTTCATGCAATACGCTATCTTCGCTTCAAGGGCCAACTGTGAGCATCCTAAAACATTACCTCCCCACACTGATATTACAGCACCAGTGTCAATTCGGTGCAACTGTGGCAGCATGTGTCACCCTGGCAGCTCCTGATAAGTCACCTTGACACCTGACCCCAGGCGTGATCGGGTCACCCACTATCGGGTTCGAGGTGCTGACCAGGCTAGTCAACGACTTCATGGAGCTGCCGCCCTTCAATTACACCAACATCCTGCGGGAGTACGGCGGCAACATGAAGGTGAGGCGACCGGCAGCCGCTCTGGTGATGATATGCTTTCCTTACGCGCCGTTAGAAAGCTCACCTTTCAACACCGAAAAAGTAGGCAACGTCAGCACGCCGTTCTTAAAAATGCACCGGGAGCGAGGGGCGACGGGACTCGGAGACGGCTGATCCAGGCTGTTTGTTGTTGGTGTGCGCTCCCTGCCGTATTCGCCACGGTCGGCAGCTGCAGTGAATGCGAAATTGAACTGCGATTTTGCGAACGGGTGGAGATGAGGTCCTACGAACGGAGGGACGAGTTTCACAGATGGAATAGATGCTCGGAGTATCGTTCTGGTCTGGTGTGTTAGTTGCACGTCTGGTGTGCTAGTGTAGTTAACACTAGCATCGTTCTCGTCTGGTGTGTTAGTCTAACTAACGCATCAGACGAGGACGATAGATGAAACAATAACTTTAAAAAACGATATCACGATAACGATAGGATACGATGCGATAACGAAACGATAAAAACGATATCACTGTAAAAAAACGATATGTTAACAGTACACTGACGGGCGGCGGGATTTGACGCGATAGATGACAACGCTGGAATATACTAGTTACATTGGATATACATGTAACATCTTAAGACGATTGCAAGTGAAGAAATGTACACCAGCACTCTGGTTTGTATGAGTCTGTTCAGAAATCACCTGACCTCGTTCAGTCTTTGCACCGTTTCAAGGCGATGCCTTTTGGGCCGCTGTTTCGCTGAAGTGATTTGGAAGCACAAACTTATAACAAGCCTGAGTTTAATTCCCGGAGCGAAAGTTTAACTCCGATACGTAAGCCCGGATATGCCTCGATGTCAAGGTTTGCTGCCTCGACGAAGTCGACACACTCTTGGCGGCGTACCGTGGGCTCTGCCGGTGACTAACAAAGTCTTTGCGGCGTGCGTCAAAGCCTAAGCCACCAGGATTTCTTTGTGTTGAAATACCGTTTGACATTTACAATTTCATTGCGAAGTCCGCTAAACAAATTGGCAGGTACTTGGGTGCTGGCGGATAAATAAGACATAAATCTTGTTTAATAAATAGCTAGTTAAAAACCCCAATTGCAGTGCGGTGCACTCTTCCCTAAAAAAATGACTGTATTAATACCAGACCCATATCTATAGACCTTTATCTATGCTTTAGAGCTTTGGGAAATTTATCTATAGAGCTATAGACCAGGTTTTTAGAACAAAGGTGGCAAATTTGTAGTCTAAGTGGGATACATTTCACCAAGTTACGTGCACGTACAGTTTAATTTCGGCCTTTAGCGTGGCTCACACGCAAAATGTCAGCCGCGTGAGAATTAGCTTAAATTTACGTAGTGACTTCTAAAACGACACGGACGGTCGGTCCCCATCGCGTCGTTTATACAGGAGTTATATCCGTTTTGCTGTCCTTTCACTGGGCTGTTGCAGATCAGTTTTACTCGACAGTGGTTTCGCATCCTTATCAACTGTTGTGTAGTGGTGTTAGGCAGCACACTGGCGATACGTCCCCCCCCCCCTCCCCCCCCCCCTTCCATGCCCGCTGTGACGCCAGGTTTTCATCAAGATCCCCTAATATTAGCACGACTTTGTTTGCCCTCTACGTTTGACCACCATATCCAGTGTCGGACTCCGTTGATACCGGCCAACTGTTTCCCTTTCTCTCTTGCCTTGCAACATGCCTATCCGCGCTCCCTGTGGCGCCGCCTCCGTCAGCCGCCAGCAATGCAGTCTGCCCCAGGCCTCTTACGTCGTCTGTCACTGCTTCGCTGTTCTGGCAGATCCAGCTGCGAGTCTACGGCGCATGACCCGCGCCAGTGCCCAACCGCCGAGCCTATAGATCCGTTGAGAGCCCGTCCACCCACGCAATGACAACCGCCGTGCCTATAGATCCGTTGACAGCCCGTCTACCCATGCAATGACAACCGCCGTGCCTATAGATCCGTTGAGAGCCCGTCCACCCACGCAATGACAACCGCCGTGCCTATAGATCCGTTGAGAGCCCGTCCACTAACTTGATGACAACCGCCGTGCCTATAGATCCGTTGACAGTCCGTCCACCCACGCAATGACAACCGCCGTGCCTATAGATCCGTTGACAGTCCGTCCACCCACGCAGTGACAACCGCCGTGCCTATAGATCCGTTGAGAGCCCGTCCACCCACGTGATGACAACCGCAGTGCCTATAGATCCGTTGAGAGCGCGTCCACCCACGTGATGACAACCGCAGTGCCTATAGACCCGTTGAGAGCCCGTCCACTCACTTGATGACAACCGCCGAGCCTATAGATCCGTTGAGAGCCCGTTCACCCACGCAATGTTAACCGCCGTGCCTATAGATCCGTTGAGAGCCCGTCCACCCACGCAATGTTAACCGCCGTGCCTATAGATCCGTTGAGAGCCCGTCCACCCACGCAATGTTAACCGCCGTGCCTATAGATCATTTGAGAGCCCGTCCACCCACGCAATGTTAACCGCCGCGCCTATAGATCCGTTGAGAGCTCGTCCACCCACGCAATGACAACCGCAGTGCCTATAAATCCGTTGAGAGCCCGTCCACCCACGCAATGACAACCGCAGTGCCTATAGATCCGTTGAGAGCCCGTCCACCCACGTGATGACAACCGCCGTGCCTGTAGATCCGTTGAGAGCTCGTCCACCCACGCAGTGACAACCGCAGTGCCTATAAATCCGTTGAGAGCCCGTCCGCCCACGTGATGACAACCGCCGTGCCTTTAGATCCGTTGAGAGCCCGTCCACCCACGTGATGACAGCCGCTGCGCATATAAAGTCGTTGAGAGCCCTCTCACCCACGCAATGACAGTTATCGTGCCTACAAATCCGTTGAGAGCCCGCCCATCCATGCGACGACCCGCTGAAACGTGACGGCCGGCCCTGACTCGGAGCCGCCCGGTGTGACACCTGCCGCTGCTGCGCTGTAGATCCGGTCGGAGGCGGCCTACCTGTACGACGCCGTGCACCTGTACGCGTGGTCGCTGAACGAGACGCTGAAGATGGGCGGCGACCCCCGTAATGGCACGGCCGTCATTGCGCGGCTGCTGGGCAGGTCCTACTTCAGCGCCATGGGGTAGGTCCTCCGTCGGCGCCATGAGGGTAGGTCCTACTTCAGCGCCATATGGTAGGTCCTACGTCAGCATCATGGGGAAGGCCACACCACGTTGTCACGGGGTAAGTCTTACTTCATTGTCCTAGGGTAGGTCCTACTTCAGCGCCACAGAGAAGGCCACACCACGTTGTCACGGGTTAAGTCTTACTTCATCGTCCTAGGGCACGATGATTTTTTTAGCGCATACTTTAGCGCCATGGAGAAGGCCACACCACGTTGTCACGGGGTAATTCCGACCTAAGCGCGATGGGGTGGGCCTTATTTCAGACACTGATGTAAGCATCTCCTCAGCCCGCGAGATAGGTCCTACTTGAACTCCATGGTGTAGGTCCGTATACATCGCCATGAGATAGGAACCTTTCACATGGGTAACGACGGTCTTACTTTATCTACATAGGGGTAGATTCCACTTCAGCGCCATGGGATAGGTCTTACTTCAGCGCCATGGGATAGGTCTTACTTCAGTGCCATGGGATAGGTCTTACTTCAGTGCCATGGGATAGGTCTTACTTCAGTGCCATGGGATAGGTCTTACTTCAGTGCCATGGGATAGGTCTTACTTCAGTGCCATGGGATATGTCTTACTTCAGTGCCATGGGGCCAGTCTTACTTAAACGCCGTGAGCGCCATGGGCCGTGTCCTACTTCGGCGCCTTGGAGTAGGCCGGGCCGGGCCCCGCTGAAGCACTGGTGCACACAGCAACCGAGCCCAGGGCTTCCGTCAGCGGGGACAATCGCCAGCGGCTAGCAGTCAGTCCTGCTATGCATTTACAGAACTGTTGTGAACAGATTCAGTCGGACAGGACGTGGATACCGGACTCATCTGAACCGCGGACCTGAACCATGGCCCACAGTCCCGTCACACTCAAATGTGTGAAATAGTTCAACGCTCGCTATTTATTGGTATCTCCGTCGCGCGAACCTCATGCGCCTAACCTGTTCGTCATACGCTCGGTTCCCAGCGCGCTTGACTCTAGGCACAGCCCGTGTCAGCGCAGTATCTGGGCCGGGCTTTGTGTGGTCGATAAGCCAGCCGCTGACAAGGCCTCGTTAGCCCCGAGTCGATCAGCAGTGCTGGCCCCGAGTCGATCACCAGATCACCAGTGCTTCCCCACTACGGCCGATGATATATGCTTCACAGTTACGGCAAGCAAATAACGGCATGGTTGGCGCGGGAGAGAATTGCCACATCATCTATTGCGCTTTCTCAAAACAACCGAACACCCTCCCTGTGTGATGGCGCGCCGTTATGTGCCCACGTGTCCCACCAATCGCGCGGCGCACGCGCGTCACCAAGCGCACGTGTCCATGTCCACGTGTCCATGTGGCCATGCCCGCCCATGCGATCTTGTTTTCCGTGTGATCATGTTTGTCCATGCGACCATGTCTGCCCATGTGATCATACTTATCCATGTGGCCATGTCTGCTATGTGACCGTATTTGTCCATGTGACCATGTCTGTCCATGTGCCGGCAGATACATGGTGTACATGGACGCGCACGGCGACACGGAGGGCAACTACACGCTGATCCAGCGGCGCCGGGTGGGCGGCGCCGTTGGCCTGCACCCGGCCGGCGTCTTCCAGCTCAGAGGCAACGGGACTGACCTGCCGGTTAGTCGCTGCCGGCTGGGGGCGCCGCTGCCGGCTGGAGGCGCCGCTGCCGGCTGGGGGCGCCGCTGCCGGCTGGGGGCGCCGCTGCCGGCTGGGGGCGCCGCTGCCGGCTGGAGGCGCAGCTGTCGGCTGGAGGCGCCGCTGCCGGCTGGGGGCGCCGCTGCCGGCTGGAGGCGCCGCTGCCGGCTGGGGGGCGCCGCTGCCGGCTGGAGGCGCAGCTGTCGGCTGGAGGCGCCGCTGCCGGCTGGGGGCGCCGCTGCCGGCTGGAGGCGCAGCTGCCGGCTGGAGGCGCCGCTGCTGGCTGGAGGCGCCGCTGCTGGCTGGAGGCGCCGCTGTCGGCTGGAGGCGCCGCTGCTGGCTGGAGGCGCCGCCGCCGGCTGGAGGCGCAGCTGGAGGCCCGCGCCGGGCGCCCGTCGCCCGGTCCGGCGGCCTGTCGGACAGTCGTCTGGGGTCGATCGGAACGCCTGCTGTACTCCTGTCCGGTGGAGGGCCTCCGTCCTCGCGATGGAGGGCCTCTTCTTATTGGTGTATTGTCTTAACAGTTGCAGAAGTCATGTTAGTGTTCGAGGGTCATGTTGCGACCGGGATTCGAACCCAGGCCCCCACATGGGAGCTGAAAACGCCAATCACTCGACCACCAAGTTCTGGTCGGGTTAGGCGGCACACTTATGTTTGATACTTTGACACGAGCGAAGTCACTTAGGAATGGACCTTACACGAGCTTCAGTAGGGGCGTCAACCGCTACTGGTTTGCCTGTCAGTGTTCGCGTGGCCGACATGTCGTCAGTGTTCCCGTGTCTGGCATGTCGTCAGTGTTCCCCTGTCTAACATTTCGTCAGTGCTCCCGTGTCCGACATGTCGTCAGTGTTCCCGTGTCCGACATGTCGTCAGTGTTCCCGTGTCCGACATGTCGTCAGTGTTCCCGTGTCGACATGTCGTCAGTGTCCCTGTGTCTGAGATGTCGTCAGTGTTCCCGTATATGACATGTCGTCAGTGTTCCCGTGTCTAACATGTCGTCAGTAGGCGGAGCTTACACTCAGCACTAGGTCCTCTGTTTTACCCAGATGACGTGGCTCTCACAAACCGTATGCAATGTGACGCAGCCGCAGGCGCCTGCCTGCTGACCTGCCCCTGACCTGTTGATCTGGCGCCGACGTCGGCCGTGGCGTGCCGCCGCGACGCCGTGACGCGCGTCGGCCGGCACCGCTGACGGGGGTGACGTCACGTGCCGGCAGGAGCTGGTGATCGGGACTCCGATCCGCTGGCCGCACGGCCAGCCGCCCATCGACGAGCCGCCGTGCGGCTTCCGGGGCGAGTACTGCATCTGTGAGTACGCCCCGACACGCCCGGGCCCCGACACACCCGGGCCCCGACACGTCCGGGCCCCGACACGCCCGGATCCCGACACGTCCGGATCCCGACACGTCCGGGCCCCGACACACCCTGGCCCCGACACGCTCGGGCCCCGACACGCCCGGATCCCGACACGTCCGGGCCCCGACACACCCTGGCCCCGACACGCTCGGGCCCTGACATGCCCGGGCCCCGACACGCCCGTGCCCCGACACGCCCAGGCCCCGACACGCCCGGGCCCCGACGCGCCCGGGCCCCGACACGCCCGAGCCCCGACACGCCCGGGCCCCAACACGCTCGGGTCCTGACACGATCGGGCTCCGACACGCCCGGGCCCCGACACGCCCGGGCCCCGACACGCCCGGGCCCCAACACGCTCGGGTCCTGACACGATGGGGCTCCGACACGCTCGGGCCCCGACACGCTCGGGCCCGACACGATCGGGCTCTGACACGCTTGGGTCTCGACACGCTCGGGCCCGACGTGATCGGGCTCTGACACGCTCGGTCCCCGACACGCCCGGGCCCCGATACGATCGGGCTCCGACACGCCCGGACTCCGACACGATCGGGCTCCGACACGCTCGGGTCCCGGCACGCTCGGGCCCCGACACGCTCGGGCCCCGACACGCTTGGACCTCGACACGCCCGGGCCCCGACACGATCGGGCTCCGACACGCCCGGGCCCCGACACGCCCGGGCCCCGACACGATCGGGCTCCGACACGCCCGGGCCCCGACACGATCGGGCTCTGACACGCTCGGGTCCCGGCACGCTCGGGCCCCGACACGCTCGGGCCTCGACACGCCCGGGCCCCGACACGCTCGGGCCCCGACACGCCCGGGCCCGACACGCCCGGATCCCGACACGTCTGGGCCCCGACACACCCTGGCCCCGACACGTCCGGACCCCGACACGCCCGTGCCCTACACGCTCGGGCCCCGACAAGATCGGGGCTCGACACGCCCGGGCCCCGACACGACACGCCCGGACCCCGACACGCCCGGGCCCCGACACGCTCGGGCCCCGACACGCCCGGCCCCCGACACGCTCTGGCCTCGAGACGCCCGGGCCCCGACGCGCTCGGGCCCGACACGATCGGGCTCCGACGCACCCTGGCCCCGGCACACATGGACCCCGTCACGTCGGCGCTGGGTGTAGCCTTGCCTACCGCCCAACCCCCGACCTGCGCACACTCTGGTGTATTGCCACTCGTGATGGATCAGCGAGTGTACTTCGTGTGGGGCATTAAGGCTGCGCGCACACTACATTTTGCACCGCTCTAATGGTCATCCTACCTAGTGCCCTTTTTCTCGTGCTCATCCTACGAAGAGCGACTTTGTTGGCCTCTGGGACAAGCACCATGCCTGAGAACGCCGACGTGCGGCACTGGCACATCACCTGTGGTCGATCGCACCTTTTCCGCGGCTTGCTCCTCCTCGCAGCGCGTCCGATCGGCCCCATCTGGGTTATCGCTCCCGCAGCTGACGCCGCCCCACGCCATCCCAGCACGTTACGCGCCCCCACGTCAGAGCGGCTGAGGTCACAGAGGTCACAGCTGACACGGCGGAGATGGCGGCGCCGAAAGACGGGCGTCCGATGGCGACCTTTGGGCCGGGAAATCCATTATCCCACGGCTTGCGAGCCAAAGTGGTCTGTTTTGAAGATTCTGGCAAACTGCAGGCGGGGAGGAGTCGAGAGATGGTTTGGCGGAGAACGATAGCTTGCTTGTTATTGCAGATAGTTCTTGGCTTTTATGCAGTTCAGCCCTAGGTCAACGAGGGCGTGCTCATAGCGCATATCTCTAAGGCTTTCAGGGAATAACTTTTGAATATTTTTGAATATTTTTGAGCACGGCGCTGACATTTGAGGTGGCTGAGTTTGTGGGATTTTTACATGTGACGTAAAAATGTGAAGTTTTTTACCTTGCTGGCTCATAATCTGGAGGCTTTGTCGGGGACATTCTGCTAAAAGTAACAAATAACGTTTATTTCTCCCAGAACCTGCACTTGTGAGGCGTTGCCCAGGCGGCTTGTCTTATCGTTTTGTCGCTGCATTTCGCCATAATTTTGGTGCCTTTTGCTAGGTCAGGTAATCCAAGGTCAAGCTAAGTTAAACTCTGAAATCTGTGACTATATTTGACCCAACTTGGACAGCGGTTAACCGTTTATCGGCTAGGCGGCTGCCGGGTATTTTGGCTTTGCCTGGCGAGAGCCTAAAGAACGTAATAGCTGATAAAAATTCCGTCTGCTTTTTTTTAAAAATCTTCTCGACCTTCTGTTGATACATGCGTCACAAATCTCCTGCTGGCAGCTTTTATTCGGTAAAAGTCGATGTGATGGGCAACCAGCCTCATCCTTCTCTCTGTCCAGAGCACGCGTTAACCCATTTATTGCGTATGCCAGGCGTGTGACGTGTTCTGGAATAGTTCTTGAGAGTCGGACTGCCGCTTATGTTCCTTTTCTACTTTAAGATACTTTGTTTTTGCTTGCTCTTGTCTGGAAACCTAAGGACGACCGTAAGGCGCCCCCCCCCCCCCCCCTCCTCCTCCTCAAGGATCGCACGGACCCAAAGTAAGAGCGCTTCGCCCGCATTTCAAGCCGTCACGTGCTTGTCACCACACACGTCATTGCAGTGTCAGCCAATACTGGTGACGTCACGTCCCTCTTCAATACAGACACCGCGCGTCAAATCTAGCATGTGCACATCACCGTCCATGGTGCCGCTGAACCACTGGCGACATCGTTGCCAGTGGGCCGTCCCAGGGGCTTCGCGGGTTGCGGCGCAGCTTCCGGAGCGAGGGGCCCATCGGGTGAGAGGTCACGTGACCGGGCGCTGCGCAGCGGCACTGACCTGCTGACCTGGCTGGTCTCACCTGGCCTCCCAGCTGTGCTGGCCTCGGACGCCTGGACAGGGGCTGCTTTAGCGAAAATGCGTCGTAGACGAGTCTCTGAGGCCACCAAATTTGGAGTGATAGAAACGCGGCCATGCTCTTTGGTCTGCAAGGAGCGTAAGTGAACGTGCCCCCTGTTGGTGTCGCTTCTGATAGACGCAAGCATTGTATGTATATGCTTTGACCTCACATGACAGCATCTGAATGTCAACTTCGCCTCCCAGCTCATGGCCGAGGTTCCGCTTACGATGGTGCAGGGAGACCCGGAGGCAGCTGGCAGGCGCAGACACGTTGTTGAAGGCCACGTGGGAAACACTGACATCTGAGTTTAAAAGACATCACGTGCCGAAGCCGAATGGCATCGGAGATTGCTCATGCGCCGTGGCATTAGAGGACGCAATCCATTTCAAGAATTATCCCGGTGGAAGAGCATTAATCTGAGATGCAGATTTGTCTGATCCCATTCGACCTACTCCAAATTGCTGATGAGAAGTGAACTGGGCTGCAATTGGTTTCAGTGGAGGCATGAGACCAGTCTGTAGCCCCGCAAACACTTCAGCGTTTTCCGCATCTAGCTTGAAATCTGAATAGCGTCTGCATGCTGTGCAGATAGCAATGCTAGCCTCATGCATGTATGATTTATCAATGCATTTCGAGTCAGCCCTCGTCACTTTCACTTGTAGTCTTTGCATATAGATGGATGCGGTCGATCCTTTCAGAGAGGAATCAAATCGGCTTCGATGTCTTGATTTGCAATCGCGAATATCGGCATATCATGTAGCAACGTTCCATACATTTAGTGGCGTATTGATAACTAAATTGTCTTTGTCAGCTTTGGGCACGTGCACTTCAAAAGAACCGTCGTGAAAGGCTGCCGTAGTCCGCATACAAAAGAAGTAGCCTACGCAGGCGAGAGGAGCTGACGTCCTGTTCGTCACGTGACGCGTCGTCACGCTGCGTTTCAGCCTACACTACAGAGATCGCCTCGGGGATAGTGGGTGGCATCGTGCTGGTGCTGATCATCATCGGACTCGTCTTCTACCGGTGAGTGTAGCTCGTCTTCTACCGGCGAGTGTCGCTCGTATTCTACCGGTGAGTGTCGCTCGTCTTCTATCGGTGAGTGTCGCTCGTCTTCTACCAGTGAGTGTCGCTCGTCTTCTACCAGTGAGTGTCGCTCGTCTTCTAACAGTGAGTGTCGCTCGTCTTCTACCGGTGAGTGTCGCTCGTCTTCTACCAGTGAGTGTCCTCGTCTTCTACCGGTGAGTGTCGCTCGTCTTCTACCAGTGAGTGTCGCTCGTCTTCTACCGGTGAGTGTCGCGGAGCCGCTGTGGCGATCAAGAGCTGGCCCTCCTCAGGCTTAGCTGGGCGGCAGAGTTCCCGTGTCTGGAGGAACTCTGCCGCTTAGCCGGGTCCACTGCAAGCTGTGCAGACTAGATGTCTGTACGGCTTGGAGTGGACCCTTGGATGCGCGTTAAGTGTGAGTGCCGGGCGGAGTTGGCTACTGATTTCGGGAGATTTCCGGACATTGGCATGGGAATCAGGGAACGTCTTGTTCATGCTTTTAAAATGTTGCACGATGCTGCTTGTTGTTCCTCTTTTGGTTGTAACGAGCTGTTCAGTCGGTCACCACGCTGACATCTGCTGCACAGCCCTGTTGCTTCGTTGCCCGTGGAAACAGAAGCTTATCGGATTTGAAATAATTTGGAGGGCTTTAGGAATGTGTGTTGCTTGCACTGTCAGCTGGCTGGTGGCTATGACCATATACAAGAACAGGGCATTGTCAATCGGCTGGCTCAATCTCGCAATGAACGTCGAAAAAGAATCGCATTCGACGTTACGTACAGATAACTGTCAGGAGGCAGTTAAACGTCACGAAATATCCCTACCGTTTACGGAGGCAATCGTCTTCGTTCCAGTCAGCGCAGCCAGTTGCCGACTGATGAAACAGGGAGAGGTCCTACAGCATGTACCATGGATCGCAGCCAAGCCGGTTTGATGCGCACATAAACGTGTTAGCAAAACGGGAAAGCTTATAATTGGTAACCACTGACTTGGTCGCATCATGCCTTTCCAGAAAAGTATTTCCTTTGTCACGTGTTTGTAAACAAACTAATTTTAATGCACAGGCTGATGCTGGAAGGAAAACGTGCTCTTTTCACCTTTATCTCAAACACATTTCCTAATCTCGTCCAGCTGTAGAATGCCTTTACACATCGGTGCTCAAAACAATCTGTCTTTGGCTTGGAAAAAAGTATTCGCTTCCCAAAGAGCCAGCAGCGTCCAACGGCAGCTACAGCAGGCTGATATCCCACGGATTCTGGGAAAAATATACTTTGATGCCACTGCTTCAGATTGGCTGACTCACAGCCAATGACAAGCGTACGTGCCAAAAGGTAAAAGGCTTGTCATTGGACGAAAAGGCAAAAGGAGCTTCCCCAGTGATCCAATGACAGGCATGCGTGCCTTTCTTCAAAGGCTGACGAATGTCCGCCGTATGTGTCTCACACTCGATACCGAACTGTCGCAAAAGTCGTCGGCATTTGCTGGGCAGGATCGGAAACTACCAGCGACCGCACTACAGGGCATTATGCGATCAGGTTGTCAAGGCGCGTCAAGGGTCCAGTCACCACCATCACGCCACGTCTGTGACGTCAGCACATTTGCCAAAGTACCGCCCGACTCGGTGCCGGCGACCAGAAAATTAATCCGCTGGAGCATCCAGATGACCGCGTTTGAACTGGACAGTAGCACCTGTTAACTTCCGAACTCTCATACGAACCCGACACATTCTCCGATCGGTCGAGACGGGTAGCAGGTGCTAAAATCTTACCATCACACGAGATAAGAACAGCGAATGAGACGAACCAAGCCCCTGCGATGCCAACCCAACGGGGACCCGCCGCCGCGGGCTTCCAAGAAGGCTCCACGGCCTCCGCCTGACGTTCGCCGTCCGCTCGTTGATGTCTCCCTGACCTTACGCGTCTCTCTGGACGAGCGTTTTACGGCGGACCATCGGGCGAGGTTATCCCACGACATCTCCATCGGGACGTTTATGGCCCCCCGTCTAGTGACGGACCCAAAATACTCGGCCACTGTTCCGAACGCCATCCAGGCGTCTTCAGGTGGGAAAACCTCCGCCGGGAAATCAGAGCGCTGTTTTCGCTCTGGGCGCGATTGAACGACGCCGAATGGCGCAGCGCGACTGTCGCTGAGCTGTAGTTGTCCAGCTATGACATCAGCATCATCTAGCCGCAGCGCATGCGAAAGGTCACCGGTTGGTGCGCCAATGCCCGGCTCTGAATGTGGGGGGGGGGGGGGGGGACACGGCCACACGCGTCTGGCGTTCCTCTCGGCGACGGGTAGGCTCAGGCGGCGGCCGCTCAAACACAGCCAGGTCTGTTCTGGATTGGCTGTTCTCCAGCCGGGTCACTCGTGGTCGGAGCGGGCCGGTCAGTCAGGTAACCCCGCCCCCCCCCCCCCTCCCCGAACGGCCGCGGCGACCGCGACGACGCATCCCTCCACGCCGGATTATAAGTTACAACATACACTGACGCACGTATTTTAAGTTACAACATACACTGACGCACGCATTTTAAGTTACAACATACACTGACGCACGTATTTTAGGCAATGACCGCTAAAAAAAAAACATCAAAATTGTATCAACGCATGCTTGAAACGAAGCAATTAAGTCTACTCCAGTCTGCCAGGACCATTTAAGGGACTGAGAGACGCACGACCCGATCAGTCACCAGTACACCATGGCACAGCGTCGGCGAGAGAGAACGAAGCGATGCCGAGACCTGGTTCCGCGGGAGCAGCCTGAGCCGGAGAGCACCTAGCCCTACCACCGGCTTCGGCCCTGTCCCACCCAGCGCCGATCGGTCCCAGGCGCGCCCCGGTCGCACAGGCCCCACACACGGACGCACTCGACTGGAACGTCTCACTAACGGAGCGCAGCGCCGCCACGCGGCAGCGGGCGCCTCGGCTCCAACGCGAAGCGACGTAGCAGCAATGCACGATGTAACACGCCGATGGTGCTGGCGCGCGGCAGGAACTGGCAGTACGAGCAGGAGCTGGACAGCTTGCTGTGGAAGATCGACTACAAGGAGATCCAGATGAGCGACGGAATGTCAGACACTAAGCCGCTGCTTGGTGACAGCTTCTCCTCCAAGGTGAGCGTTGGGCGACGGCGGCGGCGAAGAGGGCCGCGAACAGCGGCACACGTGGGGCTCGGCGAGGAGGAGAGGTGGGAGTGCAATCTGGTGCATCGCTACTAACACCCTGAAGGACGTTTAGAACTTACGCACGAGCGTGCTGTGCGTGCGAAAGCACGGTGCGCGGTAACACGTACCTCGTTAAACGGACACTGGTAAAAGCGTCCTCTCCAGTCCTCCAGTCCAGTCCAGTCCTCCCCAGTGTTTGCATAGCTGACGAACCCACTCAGATCTCTGCTCACGTGTGGGTCGGATCGGTCGCCGCTGGTCGAATCCCCACCAACTAACGCTGGTGCGCCTCTGCAGAGTCTTGCATGCACTGGCAGCCGGTGGCTTTGGACGTGTATGAGGGTGGGACTCCGGTTGGACTATTGCAGCGCCTCACCCGGTTTGGCGATGCGCACTCTGTATCTGAGGAAAAACTGGAGATGGGGAAGAAGAAATTCATCGACGAGGAATACGAGACGATTGGTAGTAGCGTATGAGTGAGAAGTCACTGAAGTGACAGCTTCTTCCCGAATTGATAAGCTGGGTGCTCCACCGCCCCGTCCGCGCTCCCAGTGCACCGAAACTTCAGTCATTCAAGCAGTTTGTACTCTGGATCGAGCTTTGCTCTCCTTATCCATAAATGTTTCGTTTAAACCCCTGCAGCGTGTTTAACCCCTTTCGTTCAGACCACTGCAGCATACGCATGAAGCGTTGAGGTACCCCCGAAGCGCCACAACGCCTCTGTCTGGCTGCTTTCTCCGGATATAATCGCCCTCGCAGCATAGTTTGTCACCATTGGTGAACCAGCGCGCAGCATCAGCACGGCGGTCTTGCGAGGTGAAGTGAGGTGTGAAGTGAACCCGAAGTGAGTGAGCCAGCGTAAGCCAGCGTTTCGCATCGCTCAGGGTCAGGCAGCCCCCAGAAGACCGGGGCGGGTATATTTCGAACGCCACGACCGCTCACGGGCCGAGGCGAGTCTATTTCAAACACTACCGCCGCTTACAGACACAAGCTGGGCCCCGCTCCCGAGAGGGACGACTAAATAAAGCCTGCCCCTCATCTGATACGGGAGAAGGTTTGGTGCCTTCAGCTGCTGTTCGGAGCTGGAAATGATAGCTCTAACTCCTGGAAGTGCTCCCAAACTATCCAGAAATCACTCCGATAAAATAGCGGACCCTCTTCCCCCTGGCGGGTGCCCACATCACGGGACATATCTCTGCGGCATTCAGTCCACAGTACAACCTTGGTTTGTTTCCAAAACCGAGTCGGTCTTTGCAGCGCACTCATCTGCAGCGTTACAGGCTAGGCGCCTGAAAGTGCTGGACTTTGATGATGGACGGAGTGGCGTAAAAACTCAGCTATGTAACGTTTCAATGCATTTAAGTTCGCCTGGAAAAGATTCTACCGGCTCTTAAGCATCGTTTAATTCGTCCCGCCTTGACGGTGCAGGCAGTAAAGCCAGTAATGTTTTTTTTTTTGCATTATGTGGTCACATAACTTGCATTCTAGAACAGTTCATTTGTGGTTGGCTTTTAAACGGATAGAATCTACCCGTGCATCGAGTTTATTTTATTCGGTTATGAAAGATCCAATACCTTTTCGCGATGAAAATGACTTGCTGTTGATACAACGACCGTCGCTGTCTGAATCAATGGTCGTTATTACCCGAATCCGAACTCGAAATACGGATAAGTGTCAACTCTGTTCGGGTTGACGCGACTGCAGGAGCCCGCAGATGAGGACAACGATGGCAGAGGCTGTTGTGATACCCCTCTCCGTGCCGTAAAATCCCAGATCATCATCATCGTACCCCTCGGGCGGTGCTGTTCCAAATCGCGCTGGCTGTTCTGTGCTGATGATGATGCTCGTTTTCTTCTACTGCTCTCCCTGTGATGTTTAAGGTCGTGTGCTAAAACTGAATCACCGTATCTGGTTTGGGGAAAGCGGGAAAAGCCTTGGATGGATAGCGTATGTAACGCCATCTCAGGCCGCGTGCTTTGCTTCCCCGACTCGAGTCTGGACGTGCTCTTCAGTTTTTCTCCAGCTCAACGTTGACTGTGTTGGGCTAGAGAACCGTGAAAAAAGAGGGAGGTCTGGAGATCCTAGCGATCGTGGGCGAGGAGGGCTGAGGAGACCTGTCGCGAAGCTAGCGCAACGAACTTTGCTGGATCAGGAAGCATTAATTTCAGCTGATTTTGACGATGTTTGGTGTTGCCTTCGCTCCACAGCTGCCTCGCTGTACTCTCCTCCCTGACGCCTACCGCGCTGCGGACATTTTTTCACAATTCCCCCCCCCCCCCCGACGTTGTTCGAGAGGCCGCTTCCACATCCCCCTGCTGACCTTGTTCGAGATGCCGCTTCCCCAACTCCCCACTGGGCGCATTGTCTTCGCAAACACATCACTAACCGTGTTCTAGATGTTGCCTCGCCAACGCCTCACCGCGTTCCAGATGTTGTCTGGCCAACTCCGCCGACCGTGTGCTAGTGTGTCAAACGTTGCTCCAGCCAAACGTGGCGAAGCGAGAAAAATGTTTCTCTCAACGGCACCAGACGACCGTTTTCGTGTGACTGTCACTATGACCAAAGTAAGCCAGTCCAGCACTGTTCATCCCATCACAGAGCGGGATGTTGACGTACTGGCCCTGCTCCTCAGATGGTGCTCCGCTCATCCCAGGTGAGCCTCAGCTCCAACTGCGAGATGGACTTCCGCTACTCGGCGCTGTACACGACGGTCGGCATATACAAGGGCCGCATGGTGGCCATCAAGGACATCAAGCGGAAGACGATCGACATCACCCGGCGCATGAAGAAGGAGCTCAAGAAGGTGGGTCACGCCGGACGCTCAGACGCCTGTTGCGGCTGCCCGGGCTATTTCGTTGATTGTTGTTTATTGGAGTTTTAGGACGCGTCGACTACTGTGGTCATTTTGCGCCCAGCTATTTCGTTAATTGGGCTGAGTGATGTTCCGATTGTTTTACGAGGCGCGTGACTGGTGCGGTCAGCTGTTTCGGCAGTCCCGAGGGCGAATCGAAGCCGAGACACGGCTCTGCTGCCCAAATGAGGCTGCTGAAAGTCACGTCTTGGCCAAACGCGGTGATGGAAGTGAGCGGGTGAACCCGTGATCCCTCGAGGAGTTTGCGGTGTCGTGTCATTAGATGGCGAGGTTAGTAAATCCGCCAAGACTATTTGGTATAGGCAAAGGTAAAAACGTGATTGTGCTATTAGTTACAACTTATTTAAGCACAACAAAACAAAACAAAAGCAAAGCAAGCGTGTGATTTTTGCACGCGTTGGCTGACATGGGTGTGGCTAAAATCTTATATATGGGATTACGATACAGTATCGTTTTTTGATGAGAATCTCATTTTCCTCCAAAAGGTCTTGTTGCGTCTCAGAACATCCTTAACGAAAGACAACATTTTAAAAATAATATTTGTCATGTTTTTGTATTGTAAACGAAGAGAGCAAAAGACGGGTAGCTTGCTCTTTTAGAACAAAAATATAACATATTGGGATACACTGATAGTTCGCCAGGACAACTAGATGATATTACTGATAATGATATTTCAAGACTTTGTTGTTGCCCAGCAATGTTGATGATATTCATGTTGTCCATCAAAGTTGATGATATAATCTTATCAAGACTTACAGTGTTGCCCCTCCAGCTTGACTATGTTAACCCTCTGATCGTGAGACATTCTTGGCAATAGTACCGGAAATGTTTGATTTTTAAAGCGTAGAAGAATTAGATTTATTTATTATTGCTGTACATTTATTTGAACATGAGTGGAATGAGCGCAAGGTTGTGAGATCGAGACATAATATGGGCTCTACGGCTTCTCTCCAAAATCGTAGTAATTTTGAGAACCAATTCTGAATGTAATTCGCCTGGCTCAAACGATGATAGATTTCTCCAAGCACCTTAATTTCATACGGAAGTTACGTTGATCTCCCTCCCAGTGTGTTTTCAACCACATTCTAAACAGCTGGAGTCAGCATTCATTACGTCCGCGGTCTTTCCCGAGCATTTATGGCAAGTAACTTGCGAAATTTGAGCCCCTCCAGCATTGAGAGGACCACCAGGGGCGAGTTATTGGAAGCATTTCAGGGCGAATCACGGGCTATCCAAGTTTAATTTTCCTCCGGGCAATATATGCCCGCATTCTTCGCCGACACAAACTGTTTATGTGCATCATCTGACTCTAAGGCTGATCGGGTCAGTTTTAGATGGTCTCATTGGGATGCACCACATACGCAGCATTACGAAACGTGTATCTCACCTTGTCCCTTCTTGAGCGCGCTATTCAAAACGAAAATTAAAACGGATATATTTGAAAAAGTGATATCACCCACGGCGCTCATTTTCAGCTAGACAACGGCAAAGTCGGCCCAGCGTATTTTGGAACAGCAAGGGTCAGAGAAACGTTGCGTAAGGAATTAAATTCCAGTCCATCACATGCCGATCGCCTTAAGATCAGTTTTACTTTGTCACTCGTTTTGAGTCTATGAGAATAACAGGCTAATCGGCGATCCGCTTTCATGGACGAATGCGTCGTTGCATGGACAGCAATGAATTGCCTTCGGGAGGGGGTCTAAGAGCGGTCACGTGGCACGTTCTCTTTTTTGGAGTGACAGACCTAGTTGGAATTTGTGACTTACATCCTCGCGACCACGGTCCCGGCATGCCAGCCGCCATATGCGTATGTGCTTGGGCGCCTGTTTCATGTCGGATTCGCAATCTCAAGTTCATATGAACGCTGCGTTTTGTTAGCATGGGCGGCTATATTCAAACAGACGCCTTTCGTCAACATACGCCGCCCAATATGAGCTTGATTAAGCTCCTTGATTAGTGCGTGTGGGGCGTGGGACGCAGTAGGTTTAATTATTTTGTGCGAAATCGACATGCAAGGAACACCTCCCGCCGAGTTGGTCCTTTCTGAACTGTGGTTCGAACAAGTCCTCATCAATCAGTCCGGGTGTAGCCCTCACTTGGGAGTGAAAGGTCTCCCTTTTCTTGCATACTAATGTCAGGGAAAGAGCGCGAGATCGCTGGCGTTTGCAAGAAAATTACAGCTCCTTTGTCTCCCGCGCGTCAGCGCCAGTCACGAAGCCATTCATGACTTTAAGAGTCTCCATAAAACCTCAGCGCTTTTGTTGCCCGTGCATGGCTGCCATTCTCCTGCCAAGCGTAGTTCCTGAATAACCATCAAAACGACTTACGCGGCGCGAAACGAGCGAGACCATAACAAATGTGGGAGTCGTTCGTCGCTATGCGGATGATGCCAAAGACGGACCTGATGAAGCCAGGCGGCTTTGGCAGCCGACACCCACAGTTTTTGTCCATGCTGACAAAACTCTATCTTTCACCACAGTTTAAGAGGCCAATTTCCTCTGATGTAGCCTCCGTGCGCCAAATTGCACGTGATTTGCTTGTAAAATGACTGGACATAAGCCAGGCCAGGGTTGATGACTTTAGTGGATGGAGTCGATAAACATGCGATGATTTATGGCCTTTGCCATTGTGGTCAGTGTTGCCAACCGCAGTACCGGGTAGAGACTGTTCATAATGAAAAGATTGCACAGCCATGCAGTTTCGTGGCCCAGTCTAACGCCGTTTGGACCATGGTGTCTGGTATTAAAGCTCGGTTTCCAAAAAAGTGATCCCAGTCGCTTTTATCGGAGCGGCCGCGGGCGCCTGGCCCGTGTCGGCTTACAGATCGGGCGGGCGGGCGGGGTGGGTCGTGGGTTCCTTGGCGGCCATGACCATACATTGTTATTGTTAGGAGAGGCGCTCAGATTTAGGCGTTCCGCTTATGCGCCAATCCGCTCATCATATTATGTACTGCTTAATGTTCATAATCGAAAAAAGCATCAAACCAAGTCAAATCAAGAGGTCGCTCACTGGCGTTGCTATGAGCCAGGTGATTCGAATATCGCCTCACAAGTTGTGGCCTTTTCATTCTCCCACATTGTGCACATTTGTTATTTATGTGCACACATTATGTGCACATTGCACATAAAGCACATTGTGTTTTACGTCGTCATGCGCTGTGGTGGCTGACATCTCGCACATCGAAATCCAAAATCCACTAAAGTCATCATTAATCCTTAAAAACGTCAAAGACCGAAGAGCTCCATAGTTCGCGCGCGAGAGCGCGTGGCAGGCTTCGCACACCGAGCCACACTTGTATATATGCGTTTGTCTGCTTTTTCTTGTGTCGAAATATGCTAGTCTCGCATCGTTGTCACGTCGGGTCGCCTAAGTCCGGATCCGTTCCTGACCGTTCATCTGGAAATATATTTAACTCCGATCTGGACGTCTTGACTCTGATCTGGATTTATTAACTCTGGTCTGAACTTCTTGACTCTGGTCTGGACTTTTTGGCTCTCATCTCGACCTAATCACTCTGATTTGGACTGCTTTACTCTTGTCTGGACTTCTTGACGTGCCTTCAGCCTCTTTACTAGAAATTTTACGTCCTCATAATCAGTAGGGGAGATGGAAATCGTGGTAGCATTGTTGTGTTGTAGGTGAAGCTCTGTTGAACATACGTCTTACTTACAAATAATGAGCAATTCATGCAGCGCGGCCCTTTGTTGTTGAAAAACCCTTGAGCCTGCGATCAGAGAGCAGAGGCGCCGTATCCAAATTTTGGTGGTTGGGGGGGGGGCGAAGGCTTAATGAAGGGCCTACAAAGCATATGGGCCCTATATTTCAGAATCGGCGCGCAACCAGAGCCTTGGCAAGGGAGGGTCACAGGGTTGGCAATAGACCTTCTGGTAGTAAAATGTCCCCCCCCAATAAAATTACCGATTATGACCAATTGGTTTATGGGGGCATGTTTTCTTTGTTTCTTTTTCATTTTTTCGTTGCATAACTGGGATACAAGACGAAAGCTATTGCGGGATCAATTCTGCCTCAACTTTATAGTTCATCGTCTGAAGCAACCATGTGCTTAACAACTGCATGAAATCAATCGCCAGCGCTCTTCGTTTTACAATGGTCTAGCGGTCTTTTTCTAAACCGATAGAACTCAGAAGCTTTATCAGAATCTTGTCTGGGCTGTACAGAGATATCAAAGACCCCGCGAATGTAGATGGAAATGGGTAAACAATTTATATTAACATGGCCAAACCATGTTTGTCTGCAAATGTTTAACATTCCGCCAGAATTGATAAGTGACACAAATTATGTAAGGTAGTTTTGAGCATGCGCGTTGCACGCATACCAATCTTTCCAACAGAAATCTAGACGCCAGACATTGCAGTTCCCGCAGGCCGCGCAGCGCCAGCCCTGTGGTTGATATTGAGTGGCCAACGGGTGGACAAAAATGATGAAAAAATGATGAAAAATGATGAAACGCTGTCGTTCGAGTTGCTCACGTGTTGACCCTGACCCACGGTGGTCTGCGCTGCTTTCTGGACTTTGCCCAAGATGTCTTTCCACCAGGGCAAGGTTTGACCAGCTGTAGCACTTGCCACCCGCAGTAGTCTGACGTGATCCGTTTGACCCCGGCATCGCCACGGACCCAGAATCAGATCCAATCTGGCATTGCCATGTGCCCAGAGTCTGACCTGATCTGGCATTGTCACGTGCCCAGGGTCTGACCTGATCTGACATTGTCTCGTGCCTATAGTCTGACCTGATCTGGCGTTGTCATGTTCCCAGAGTCTGACCTGATCTGGCAGTGTCACGTGCCCAGAGTCTGACCTGATCTGACATTGCCACGTGCCTAGAGTCTGATCTGATCTGGCGTTGTCATGTGCCCAGAGTCTGACCTGATCTGGCGTTGTCACGTGCCCAGAGTCTGACCTGATCTGGCATTGCCACGTGCCTAGAGTCTGACCTGATCTGGCGTTGTCATGTGCCCAGAGTCTGACCTGATCTGGCAGTGTCACGTGCCTAGAGTCTGACCTGATCTGGCAGTGTCACGTGCCCAGAGTCTGACCTGATCTGGCATTGCCACGTGCCTAGAGTCTGACCTGATCTAGCATTGCCACATGCCTAGAGTCTGGCCTGATCTAGCATTGTCACATGCCTAGAGTCTGACCTGATCTGGCATTGTCACACGCCCAGGGTCTGACCTGATCTGGCATTGTCGTGTGCCCAAAGTCTAACCTGCTGTGACCTGTGTCGTCAGATGCGGGACCTGCGCCACGACAACCTTAACCCGTTCGTCGGCGCGTGCGTTGACCCACCGCACCTTTGCACAGTCTCCGACTACTGCACACGCGGCAGTCTCAGGGTACGTGGCGAGGGATGGGCTGGACAGCGCCGGCGTGTGCTGGACAGCCGCTGACCGCGGTAACTGCGGCAGGTCGTCGCAACCTGCGCCGGTCCAAGCACGGCTGTTCAGTCGCAATAATGGCACAAGCGTGGTTCAAAGCGTTAATAATGGCACAAGCGTGGTTCAAAGCGTTAATGATGGCACAAGCGTGGTTCAAAGCGTGAATAATGGCACAAGCGTGGTTCAAAGCGTTAATAATGGCACAAGCGTGGTTCAAAGCGTTAATGATGGTACAAGCGCCCTGCACTGATTTATAAGTATTTCTAAATCATATATATTTTAGTTGTATACTTGAACTCTATTGTTTATCATTTTAATTTGCTGAATAATTCATGTTGCATGGGGATTCCTGATTACTTCAGTTTTACACTCATTGCGCCCACTTTTCTACCATCGACCCGAGGACCAGGAGCGGCCCGCCGCCGTCCCTCGTGGCAATGGGAACATGCGACAACACCCCTGTTAGGAAATCAGAGTATAAGTCGTGGCACTCCTTGTTATGTGATGTGAAAAAACAGGCAAAACATGAGAGCAGGGAGCGTCATCAAATGGTCAGCGAACTAGAGTAGTAGCGGTGAATTCACTATTAGCGTTACGTAGTGCTCTGGTAGTTGGCAGTGGTTTAAGAAGTGGTTCTTTGTTGAGTAAATGTGTTCAGACGTGGGGCAAACTAAAATGAGATTGCGGGAACGCATGGCTTTCAACACAGGGGTGAATTCTGGACTATGGTCTCCGAAACAAGCGAAATTGTCTCATCGTCTCCCTGTTGTCAGTGTCACTTTTGTAATCGTCTGAAGCCTGACGATACATTGCACTACTTTGACGTTCACATTTGACACATTCTTTCGCACGCAGGACATTTTGGAGAACTCAAATGTGAAGCTCGACAACATGTTCATAGCGTCCATGGTGTTCGACATAGTCAGGGTGAGTGAGTATAGCAACCAGACGAGCGTAAGATACGCCGCACTGGCTGAGGTGAGTCATAATCTCCGTTTTTGCGAGTCTCCAGCTCCCACTTAACCCTGTATATGCTGTGGATTCGCTTAGATTCGAGCGGAGGCCGCTTCAAGCTCCATATATCGAAACTTGCTGGTCTTGTTTGGCCATTTTTGAGCTAAATGTCCAGCAATACAAACGTTTCCGACAACTTGCTGTGTTTAAACGTTGACGACGGTGCGTTCACGTCGTGAAAAGTGGACGAAAGCTCCGTCGGTCCTGCTGTGTTTTATATGTGGAAGAAATGTTACATTATAGGATGGATCGTATTGCCGCATACAGAAGACTGCACGATGTAATATGGGGGCGTCGGTGGCTGATGTAGACACGTGCAGTGAGGCGGTTGAATGCTACCTTTGGTCGGGACTTCTAAATTTATCATAAACATGTTGTTAACTTAGAGCTAAAAATACCAAAAGCAGTCAGAAATCACCACGCCGCTGATGTAATGCACCATTGGCGCACTCGTGAGCCTCTCGGGGGGGGGGGGGGGTAGAAACACGATATTCCGAGGGCTTATACGTCATCGGTTGCAGGATGCGTCAACTTACCACGGTGCTTAGCAGGCCTCAAGGAGTTCTGAACACATTCGCCACTTATTTTCTGTCACAGTATCCCGTGCCACGGTGCTTTGTTCATTTCCAAGGTTGGTTGCATGCGAAATGGCCCGAGTAGCCAATGTGCTGGTAAAATTCTTCATGCAGGATGCATGATTTCAATTAGCTGTGATCTTCGTGGCTTTTGCTAGTCATTTGCAACTTAAGGAGTTGAAATTATATTACCGACGGAGTCGTGTTTTCGACCATCCCAAAATAGCAGCCAAATCAGCAGCCCAAGAGCCATTTATCTGATTATACCGGGGTGTTCGGCGAGATCGGTGGGAAGTGTGCTAGAAAGGCCAGCAAGCAGGCTGGATCATGATTTGCTCGTACCACGGCCGCTACTTTCAGTCCCATGTTTACCTAATCCACTCGCAATTTTTACCTTAGCACTGATTCCCCAATCTCAACGCAGCTGGGCGTATCTTTCCAACAAACAGACATCCTCAACCTCAGCACACCGCCTTGGATTCCACGGGTAATAGAGCAGTGATGTCAGTATTCGACACAAGGTTTGGTTGATCCGTGTTTCAAGGTCCTTTCAATAGCGGAGGACAGACTACGATCCGATTGGCTCTAATGACGTAGTGACCAGAATTTGCGTTCAAACTGCGAGCTTGTTTCAAGCTGCAGCTCTGTTTGACTGATGATCATGACGGATAAGATGCCCGCCTGGCCTTTCAAGCTTCCTGGACCGCTCCTAATGGTGCCAGCTAGTGCAACGGCGAGCTTATCAGAAGCTGGCACAGGAGGTACCGGTTCCAGGAATCCGTTGCTGCTTCCCCGCGCCGAAAACAGCTATCTGCAACCAGAAGCCCGATGATCAGCCCCGACTAATGAGTCGATGCTCGCCTCCTCCACTGAAATAGCCGGGTGAAACCGCCACTCCCTCGCCTCCACCACCGAAAGAACCGGGTGAATCTGCCACCCTCCCTCGCCTCTTCCACTGAAATGGCAGGCTGACCTTGCAGCACTCCGACCAACACGGCCACGGCCGGCAGACGGCGGCGGGGGGGGGGGGGAGGGCGGTCTGACCTGCGTCCGCCAGACGGCGGTGGGGCGGTCTGACCTGCGCCCACCCGGCTGCGCCGGTGGCCCTGCACCAGTTTGGCCGGCGGTCGCAGATCCGGAATCACCAGACGCCTTCGGCTCCCCGCCCGACTATGGCCCTGGGGCTCATTAGAGCGGGGTCGAACGCAGCGGCGGAGCCAGGTCCCGCCCATGGGGGGCGTGTGCTCCACGCTGTCCTGTTGTCCCGCGGGAGGCCTCTGCGTGGCAGTGCCCGGTCACGGGTCGCTCAGGGCTTGTGAGCCAGCGACACTGCACCTCCCCGGCGGCGGGCACTGGCTCCGCCCCTGCCGGGACGACTCGAGGTCTCTGTAATGGCTCGACCGGGCACTCCGGGTCGCGGCTCAGTTAAGCACAGCGTCGCCTCAAGCCAAGTTATCGGTGCCGGAACGGCGACCGGCTCGACGGGAACCAATTGTCTCCGGTCCGTATTTAATTACAGCCGGTAGTTTACCGTTACGCCCGCTTGAAACGGCCATTGGAGAATGAGCTAGGGCCTCTGAGAACGTTTCTGGTCGCCATCGGATGCCAACGCCGGTTTTTCTTTGTTAGGCTCGAAAACGGGAATACGAGTATTTATTGCCCAGCGTGTTCAGTCAATTGGGTTACAGGACAGGCCGCAGCACACAGGGCAGATCGTAGTGCGCGGGCCAGGCCGCAGCACGCAGGTCAGGCCGCAGTACGCAGGTCAGGCCGCAGTACGCAGGGCAGGT